GATATTACAAAAAACTGGGTCACCAATGGGTTAATGCATGATCAATAATCGATTAAGACTTCAAAAATGTACTCTTAAAAAGTAGTTCAAGGGAGTATAATGGAAATAAAAGGATTTCAGAATTTTGGGCACCCGCTTATATGGGGCGGTCCCAGTGTGCGACGGGACGATGAGCTGTATGAGGTTCATAACGACACGGACGTAGTGCAGCGAATTGAAATACAGCGGCCCCACTGGCTTGGCCATGTCATTCGAATGGACGCCGATGCTCCTGATCTGAAAATATTCAACTCTGTTCCAGCTGGTGGTAGCAGTGGAAGAGGGAGGCCCCCACTGCAATGGAAAGGCCAAGTGGAGAAGAACTTGGCATTGTCACAGAAGAGAGAACGACTGGCGTTCTTTATTGGACTCGGTAAAAATCGCTTAAGCAGTTACAGAGCCAAACAAGAAGACAAGGAAGCATAATCAAACTAGCAGGAAAGTAGCTAATAATAACTAACTTAAATTATCAGATTTTGAGAATACATAGCCTTCCTACATTCTGTTTAGTATCAAAAGAAAAAATTTAAATGGACAATGCTAATCTTAAAAATGTAACTTTATCTAAACCAGACTAATCATAAGCAGTGGCAAATGGTGTTAATGACACACTTTAACAATGTGTTCTAGTTTACGTGATTTCTCATATGAATATGTATTAAATACCTACATACATACATATATACATTAGACTGCATCACCAAAAGAAGTTGCGGTTTTTCCGGCGGGATTACAAAATCTATTATATTTTAAGACTTCTACCAAAATATTTCGGAAAAATATTAAGACTTACGGGAGCTGGACCGGTTTGAAAACCGGAGTTTTTTTATGAATATAAAAAGTTTCTTAAAGGATTTTTTGAAAAACAAAACTCCCCTGAGATGACGAAAAAGTTTAAGCTTAATAAATCAACGTAAAAATATTAATTTTTTATCAAAGGAATCCCAATAATGAGATTTTTGATGCAGTTTTTTAACCTTTTTCAAAGGACTGCTCTAAAACTTTACCGGTATGAACTTATGAGGTATCAGTGGAAAGGTATTTTTTCACCCTTTTTACTTTATTTGCAAAAAAACTAATTCACGTCCCAATTTTTTCTTTATCAAATACCAACACATCTTAATTCAACATGGAATGACGCTCGTTTATCTTACCTTCCTCTTTCATATTTTGAATGAACTTATTCGCAGAGAAATTAAAATGGTGAGAAATACCTTACCATTGATATCTCAGAAGTCTAAATTGGTAAGGTTTTGGCTGAGTTATTCAAGTTTATCTTAAACCACTCTTTGAAAAAAGTTCAAAAACAGCATCAAAAATCTCATTATTATGAGTCCGCAGAAAAGTTTTAAAAATATTTTTAGTCAATTTGTTTTAAGCTTAAAGTGTAAGGTGATCTGCGGTGATTAAAAAAAAAATACTTAAAAAAACTATTTTTATTAATAAGAAACTCAATTTTCAATTTGGAGGTGTTTTCAAATCGGCCCAGCTCACGTAAATCTTATTATTTTTTCCGAGATATTTTGGTGGAAGTCATAAAATATAATAGATTTTATAATTCCAGTGGAAAAACAGTTCCGATTTTTTTTTTTTTTTTTTTGTATGGGGAGTGATGCAGTCTAATATACATTCATGTATGTACATACATATGTATGTTTTTTTCCTATGCTAAGCTGGTAATTAATACAAATCGGGTCATTGCGCTTGAGTCCACTGCCATTTCTTGAAAACATTGCAGTCAGTATTCATGCAGTTCTTCTATTTACTTCGAACTAGACGGCTAATTGTTTGTAAACATATTTTAAATTTAACATTGAAACATAAAGGTACAAATTAGTTCTTTAAATTCTATGCAAAATAAATATAGCGTCGAAGCACATGAATTCAGCTATTTAAGGAATTCGCCAAACTTGATTTTCTATTAGTACTTTCTAAAACACTAAGCGCTGAGCTACGTGGTGTATTTTTTTTTTTTATTAGTCAACAAAGTGTAAAAGTGCAGTAAATAAAAAGCAATGAATGGGGAAATGTCGAAAAATAAAATCGAAATTGAAGTGCTGGAAAAACGCTTGTACAGTGAAGGAGTATTAAATTATGACTTGAGTGACGAAGAGATTGAAAAGAGTCCTATACGTAACTATTTCAAGGGGAAAACTATATTCCTTACTGGCGGTACAGGATTCCTTGGACAACTGCTAATGGAAAAGTTGTTGAGGTGGGAATTGGGAAGAAAATTATTATACCTTAACAGGGAAATTCTGGCAACTGTCTTTGAACTCACCACAGTCTTTCGAAAGACAAAAGACTTTCGTAAGAAAATTGTCAATTCTGGCAATTATCTTGCAAGCTCTTTACTGTCGTTCGAAAGACTAATTGAAAGATCTGCTGAGGAGGCCTTAGCGTTATACTTTTTTTTCAAATTAAATCAAATTAAACAAACAAAAAATCAAAAAAATTTAAAATTAATGAAATGCGAAAATGCAAAAAAAGTGAAAATAAGCGAAAATATTTTTAAAAACTAAAAGAAACATATATATATTTTTTTTTCAAAATAAGTAAATATAAAAATTAAATTAGAAAGAAAATCAAAAGAAAAGAAAATAATACTTAAAGGATATTTTTATTTTTAAAACAAAATCTAAAAGCTAACATAAAAAAAATTGAAAAAACAAAAAAAATAAATAAGATCCCCAAAATTAAATAAAATAAAACAGACATATATGTGTATATATTTTTTTTTTATTTATGGCACAACAATTATATTTAAAAATTTTATTGAGCTTGTTGAATATAATTTTTATAAGGCCATACATAAGAAAAACAAATAACCTAAGGACGATCCCCACACATGATCAAGTCTAAATAGCAGAAGTATAGCNGACATATATGTGTATATATTTTTTTTTTATTTATGGCACAACAATTATATTTAAAAATTTTATTGAGCTTGTTGAATATAATTTTTATAAGGCCATACATAAGAAAAACAAATAACCTAAGGACGATCCCCACACATGATCAAGTCTAAATAGCAGAAGTATAGCTGAGACATTCTTTTTCATATCGGACACCAAATTTGGTGTCACACTTTCGATTGTCTTCAAATTTTGTTTATGGGTTCTATACATGAAATAAGCTAACACGTGTTCGAGGAATTTTTTTTCGCTTTTTTCTTTGGAGATATGATCTGTCAAAGTTTGGATTTTTTCGTGATTCTGACTAATCATATACTCCTTCAAATCGTTAAATCTCGGGTTCTGCTGATCGGCGAGATTTCATCTTAACGTCATTTTAAAGCTAACAAACGGGATTAATATTTCTATATATAAGATGGTCAAGATTGTCCTAAAGCTAACTATTAACAGTTGAACTTTTTGTAGTTGATTTGCATAGTGAAGACCAGTAAATTGGGGATTTAAAATTATACCATCGTAATCCTTGTAAATATCTATAAAAAAACGTGGTTTAAAACAATGCGGGTTTTTCAAGAACTATTTTTAAAAGTAATTTCTTTATGATGAGATGGTTTATTTTGTGAGAATGAACAATTTTTTGTAATTTGTTTTCCAAAACTTATGGTGAGATATATTTAGTAAGGTGTTCAAAATCGAGTTTTGCAAGAATTTAAATTTTATTGCAGATTCCGATATGATCCGAAGAAAAGAAAAACAAAAATCCCTCGAACACGTCTTAGCTTATTTCACGTATAGAACCCACAAAAAAGCGAATTTTAAGCGAATCGGACGCATGACATAATTTTTTTACGGAATCCGTCCGATTTAAAAAAGAATGGCTCAGCTGCCTTTGCTTGTAGTTGGGTTGGCATATGAAAAGGTGGAAAAACCAACAACAATTTACGTGACGAACTTAGCTCAGTGGGTAGACTGCGGGCTATGGCCGCTGGGTTCGTTGAATCGAATGCCAGTGAAGAAGTCTGATGAGGAGATGTGGTGATCCCTGAAATAGCAGCTATAACTTGTTGTTTTTCCACAGAATTTTTCATATAAAATGGCCTCAAGCTCAACAAAATTTTATATTGTTATCGATATTTTTAATTGATATATTTAACGATAATCGCCCATATTAAGTCTCGAAAAAATCGAAATAGTTGCTAAAATCCTAAAAATCTCAAGACAGTCTCGAGAATCTCGAAAAAGTTCCGATCATCTCGAAAAATTCCCGAGAATCTTGAAGTAGTCTGGAAAATCCCCATATAGTCCCGAGAATCCCGAAATAGCGTCGAAAATCTTGAAGTAGTTCCGAAGATCCCGATATAGCGCCAAAAATCCCGAAAACCTCGAAGTTGTTTCGAAAATCCCGAAATATAATAATTAATTTCACATTGGGTAAGCACCACTTTTCATAGAACTGGAAGTTTGAAAATGGTATTTGCGTTTCATAAAAAATTATTATTTAGCTGAAATATCACGTATCAAATTTACTTGCTCAACAAATCAAATCACAAATAAATTGTATTCTTTATTTGTTCGATGAATCACATCACAAATAAAATTTATTTAAGATTTAATGCAGCTTTCAATTCAGAAATTAATTTGATTTGTGGATTTGTGATTTGACTAATTCAAAATCGTGCAACTCTGGTAAGGAATTGGCATAAGTTATTCAAGCATTAGAGACTGGACTGGTAAAAAAATGGTATTTTCGTCAGCATTTATATTCGTTTTTAGAATAAGATTTAGAATATAAGTTATATACATATATCTTTTGCCTAAAACTTTAAGCTTTATTGATTGCCAATATTTTCTTTTTGTAGGTGCGAAGTGAAAATAGTATACTTGCTAGCTCGAGCGAAGAAAAATAAAACCTCAAATGAACGACTGAATGATCTGTTTGCACAAACGGTAAGACACCATTGTAATAAAAAATTAATAAACTAATTACTTAAGCGGTCGATAACCGAATTATTTATATTTTTTTTATCTCACACCTCTCCTTAACCTTCAGCAATTCGCTAAGCTACGTAGAGAATATCCCAACTACCGACAGCATGTCAGCATCATTGAAGGCGACATGTCTCTCATTGACTTGGGCATAAAGGATTCCGATCGACAGCTACTCGCGGAAACGGTTGAGATTGTTTTGCATGCCGCCTCTGAAGTACGCTTTAATGACAGCCTCCACAAACTGGCAACCATAAATTTACGCGGCACTCACCAAATGCTAAAATTGGCAGAGAATTTCAAAAAATTGCAGGTAATTTCATTTAACCAACAAATCCTCCGAAGTTATCCAGCAAACGCAACTAATTGGTATCTTGCAGGTCTTCCACTATGTTTCAACCGCCTTTAGCAACTGCAAGCCAAATTGCAAAGTGATCAAAGAGGAATTCTACGAGCCTCCGCTTGAACCAAATACACTCATCGCTTATGCCGAAAAGTGCATTAATACTCCCGAGGATTTGGATATTTTCGATACCATAACAAATCGTTTGATTGGCGAATGGCCCAATACTTACACATTTTCGAAATGTCTTTCGGAGGAATTGGTGAGGCGTAGCGCTGAAAAATTTCCCACTTGCGTCTCTCGCCCCAGCATAGTGATTTCGACCAATCGTGAACCCATAGCGGGTTGGATAAATAATGTTTACGGTATCACAGGTTCGATTTTTGCCCTGGCTGCTGGCCTATCGCGTCTTCTGCCCGTTCACAAGGATAAACACTTAGATATAATCTGTGCCGATTTCACCGTGAATGCGATATTGGCAGCCACTTGGGCAATGCATCAGGATGTTGAGGCCCATAGAAAGGTATCACCAACTCCACCGATTCCCAAAGTATACGCTTTGGTATCTTCGACATACACACCTGCGGGATTTGTAACGTCAGAGACTTTGTCGCATTATCTTACAAACCCGTTGCAACGGCACTTATGGGTTTTGTGTCCAAATTTAATTGACAATCAGCTGTTATTCAAGTATCTTAGTATATACTATCATCTGATAGGCACTTTAGCGATTGATTTCGGTTTAAAAATAGTTGGTCGAAAGGAACGGTAAGTAGAAAGGCCTAAATATCAGAGAGCATACTCACATTCATATTTCTTTTCCTCACAAGCGTCTTACCTTGGGTGCGCAAAACGCAACTATTTCTGAATGTAATCGCCTACTTCACGCAGTACGATTGGAAATTCGATAATGATAATATGCGCAACGTCTGGAAGCGAATGGATGCTGTAGATCAAAAGTTATTCCTCTGCGATACGCGTCTATTCGACTACAAGAAATGGTGTTACACCTATATGCAGGGCATGAAGTACTTTCTTTGTAATGATCCACTTGAAAATCCAAGAACAGCCGTGGCCCGATATAATCGCATAAGTCGAGTGCATTTAATATTCAAGTACCTATTTTACATTTCCCAGCTACTGTTGGCATATACGATGATAAAGGGTCTGAGGCTAGATGAAGTGTTCATTAAATTAATAAGCGTTAAATTTGGTTTAGGCAAAGGAACAGCTTTTGTTAAGGCATAGACGATATGCAAGATTTGGTGTTTATGTGAGAAAATAGATCAAATAAATTTATCGTAGATTTAATTTCGTGACTTTTTTGCATTTGATAGCATAAGTCAGAGAAGGTCGTGGAGATGGGAAAAACATCGATGTTTTACTGTTCAGCATCAATTCTAATATTTTCTTACCGTCTCTAAGACCATAAACAGTAAACAGTGGAAAGCGGGAAAGGTGAAAATGCAATATTTTTATTTTATTAACAACTTTAATAAATACGTCTCCAAAAATTCAATAGTGTGAATAATAATAGTGAATTTTTTAACAGGTGGCAACCCTCTGTAAACACCTAAAAAATATTTCTAGTGTTTCAACTAAATATTTCTTAACACTCTTTCGTTTGACACCAATATATGCAACCAAATTTGAATACATGTTTTTAAACAACTGGCAACCCTCCTAAATATATCTCAGAAATAAAGCCTTTCAAAATCATTTCCTTTAATAATTCATCCAACTTATTAAATAATTTGAAGGTCACTTTATAAACACGTGGCAACCCTCTTCAAACATTATAAATGTTGAAACTCAAGTTTTCTTAACACCCTTTTGCTTCATATTTCAAATAACTTGCGTGAAAGTTAATTAAATTCGACTTTTTAAACAGGTGTAAACCCTCTTCATGTGTAGTTCCGCGCTAAGACAATCTTAAATATTCTTTGTCTAACATTGCGATACATATTTTAGTTAACTGATGAATGAAGTTGAATTTTATTTTTAAACACTTGGCAACCCCACTAAATATAGTTCAGAAATAAAGATTTTTCAAGCCGCATACGATTTATACCCACATTTCCATAATTCATTTAACTTTTTTAATATTATGAATTCAATTTTTAAACTGGTGGCAACCCTCTTCCAACACCACAGAAATATTCTTAGACTTCTAAGCACTCTTTTGTTTGCCATCCATATTTTGACATTTCATAGAACTTGTGAATAAGTTAACTAAATTGAACATTTCCAGCAGGTGGCAACCCTATTTAAAATATTTGCAAACTACTTCCTTCTGAACCCTCGTTTGTCACCCATATGTTGAAACATATTTCTCCTAACTAATTCCTCTAATTCAAATTGAATTTGATTTTTTAAACAGGTGGCAACCCTCCAATAGTTCAGCTAAGAAGCGAAGCTTTTAAAACCTTGTAAACATTGATTTATTTTTTTTTTTAAGTAATTTGAACTTAATTTTTTAAAAGGTGGCAACTCTTTTCGAAAAAGTTAAACCTTATTGCACACCTACAGCTAGAGCCCTTTGATTTGGCACATCACTTTTGAAAATCGAACGAACGGTGTGGATCTGATGGCATTGATTATTAAATAATTTGAATGCAATTTTCGAAATTTCGAAAATAGTTTCTGCATATTGAACCAAACCTTTATATGCCTATGTTATTCGACGCCCTGAATGCGAGTCCGAGGTCTGTCAGCCTCCATCAGGTCAGGTTCAAGTCATTTAAAGGTCAAGTAGGGAAAAATTCATTGAATAAACCTTAAAATTATATGCATATTGGGATTCATTTCATTTTCATTTCATTTTATTAAATATATAAACATTAGTACAATAAGATATAATTTTTACTGATAAAAACAAATTACTGATTTCAACATAGACAAAGAGAATAAGAAAAAACAAAAGTTTTTTTTTGTTCAATAAATTGTTTGCCCTATTTGACCTCGAGCCTAACATTATGGAGGTTAACAGACCTCGGATTCGAGTTCAGCGAGTCAAAACCCACATATTATTAATTTTCACGAGGATTCAATGAATTTTTCCCTACTTGACCTTCAAATGACCTCGAACCTGACGTGACGGGGGCTAACAGACCTCGGATTCGCATTTAGCGCATAGGGATGCAGACACTTTGTTTTGTAAACCTGTATAATTTAAACAAATGCAAGAGCTAGATCTATAGTTTTAGAATTTTATAATAAATTTATCAAATTTTTTCATAGTTAAAGCTTAAAAATGCTTTTTCAGATTTTATGGATTCTGAATTTGTTACGTATGTACATAACAAAATGTTTCAAATGCCTTAATATTTTATTTTTGCATACTTCAAAGTGTCTATATTATATAAGTTTATTATTTTAAACTTTTAATTAACATTGGTTTTTGGCCACTTTTTCAGTCTTCTGGCCCACAGTGAATCAGTATAAAGTCCTAGGTTGGTAAAGAATTGCAGCTGCTATGCTCGAAAATCACAGTTGACCAGTGCCGCATTTTTGATTGCTTTTGTTGTTAAGAGCTGGCCCGGTTTTTTTTTCTATGGCTTGGACATCGCTAGTTTACGTTATAGGTATTCACCAAATTGAGCAAGGGGCCTGGCACACTGGCAAAGAACAGATTAGCTCAAGCAACGACTGTTGACAACAGTGAGCCCCTATTGTTTCTCATATGAATATGTTTTAAGTTTGTCGGCACGTGTTTCCCTCTGTTAAGGTATTAAATTATTCAAATTCAAGTCATTGCCCTTTCTTGCAAACATTGTAGTCAGTATGAATGTAAAGGGTGATTCATCTAGAGCTTTTTTCAATTTTAAATAAAACACTTCGAGAATGTTCTTTCGGATAATAATAAAGATTCCGATATTTAGTTTTATTTGAAGTGTTTTATTCAAAATTAAAAAAAAATAAATAAGTGTGCCTGGGCCTCACTGGAGAAGTGAAACTTACGTTACATATCTACTTTGTCTCATTATCAATATATATACATACATACATACATACATCCGCTTTTGCTTAAAGTTATATTTTTTGTATTTTTTCTATCTAGATGCCTACCTCTACCCCTGTTCCTTCTAATTACATTTATGTATTACCTTGTTTATACCTACGAAAAAACCGCATTAACAAAGAACCGATTTGATTCTAAACATATTTCTTTCTTACGTTTATTTGACAGTCTTTATAGCGCACTCGATAAAACCGTATTGAAAAGTAAAAAAACTCCGTTAGTTTTATTCGACATTTATTTAATAATAAATTTGCGTGGTGGACCGAAGTGGAAGGCAACAGTAATACAAATTTATTATAATAATAAATACAATTAAAAACGGGCTGTGTAAAGAAAAAAACAGACAATTTTGATGTCAAGTTAAATTAATTATTTGTTTATACGGGTGTTTTAACCGATGTGAGAAATAAAAAACCGATTTGAAAACAAATTCGAGTCAATACACTTTTCGATTTCAACGCGTATTGAAATTTTGTTTATGCAACTGTTTTGAATCACACCGAACTGAGTCGCAGCGCTTTATGTGTCGGTATAAACAAGGTATATGTTATTCGGTTTTCCTGCAATAATAATAATAGATTGGGGCTTAAACATATGTTAGTGTTTGGCCGAGCTTCTCCTCCGATTTATGGCGTGCGCCTTGATGTTGTCACATAAAGCGGAGGGACCTACAGTTTTACGCCGACTCCGAACGGCGATTGTATTTTTATGAGAAGCTGTTTTTCATGGCAGAAATACACTCGAAGGTTTGCCATTGCCTGCCGAGGGACGGCCGCTGTTAAGGAAAAACCTTTTTTCTAAATTTTTTGCGATGTTGCTTTGACCAGGGTTTGAACCCAGGCGTTGCGGAATGGAAGCGCGCACTGCTTACCACTACACCACAGCGGCTGACAGGTCTGTTTTCCTGTATCTTCATTTATATCTCTATACTCTCTATCTCCATACTACCGTTGAATCCGTTCCGTTGAATTTGCCAATTTACTCCCAACCAACCAACCGCCGCTAAAGAAGTTTCACTTCAAAAGGTCTAGATGGATCACCCTATATAACTTTACTTATTTCAATGTGGTTGCATACCGAGTAAAGGGATGTAGCCCTTTAGCTTTACTTTAAATATAACATTGTAGCTTTACTTTAAACATAACAGCGAAGCAGCAAGTTACAAATTAGTTTATCAAATTCTAAAAATTAGCACGGCAATGTTTGGATTCGGCTGCATATATAAGGAACTCGCCAAACTTAATTTTCTTTCAGTACTTTCTAAAACGCTAAGCGCTGAGTTAGGTGGTGTATATTTTTATTAGTCATAATGAACGGAGAAAAGTCGGAAAATAAAATCGACATTGAAGTGCTGGAAAAACGCTTGTACAGTGAAGGAGTATTAAATTATGACTTGAGTGACGAGGAAGTCGAAAGGAGTCCTATACGCAACTATTTCAAGAGGAAAACTATATTCCTTACTGGCGGCACAGGATTCCTTGGACAACTACTAATGGAAAAGTTGTTAAGGTGTGAATTTGGAAGAAAATTGTTGTGCTACAAATGTGTATTGTAACTAATTGAATGTTGTTGGTAACAAACTAACCAGATAAATGTGAAATTAATACGTATAAAAGAAAAATTTGCGTGGAAAAGGACACTTGAATATGTACTGCTTTCTTTGGATTACCACTATAATACCAAAGTACTATATTATTCATGCATTAAACGTGAACCATAGCTAGAGCTTCATGAAAAGGATTACAATTAACCAAATGATTATCCTTGTTTCTTCTTGTTTGGCGCCGTTACCACCTAAGTGTAGTTTAATAAAGCACACCACTCGTTTTTACTCTGTGTCAACTAGTGCCAATTCGAAATGCCAAATTAGGCCAAATTCTTTTCTATCAGGCTTTTAATGGCAGAGCAGCCCTTCCTTTTCCTCTGCTGCCACCAGCGGTATAAGCGGCATAGCCAAGCCAGTTACAGTATTTAAAATACTGCACTACATCAAATGACAGTATTCGGTTTCAAGGGGTAAGATGAGTGCATAAGTGAGACCTTTCTCAATAGCCTATGCTCCTCAGTGGATGAGATCAACATAAATAAAGTTAAACAAATCAATATTTTGTGTGCAGTGCAATTACTCGTTCTTTCGTTTTAATATGACAGCAGACTCAGGCAAGTATACATTTTTCGGCCCGCCCACATTGAAGGCATTCATATGCCCTTCGGCTTAAAGAAAGATTCACAGTTTTTGAACAGTATGTTCAAGGACGATATAATCGTAGTTGATGCACACGTAAAGCTGTTTATCGTAATCATGCGAATTAATTTAAGGGTTTAGAACTTATACTAACTCAGATTAAAGCACGCCAGACGGCTGGAATCGAAATGTGCTCTGCCCAATACCACTCGATACACTGAATCCACCATCAATAAAATGACTGGGCCTTATTAGCATGGCTTTAGACTTGGAAAATCCTCTATAGGCCAGGTATTCACAATACGCCAAATCTTGGAAAAGACTCACAAGAAAAGGATCGACACACACCATCTATTTGTTGATTTCAAAGCTACTTTCGACAGCACCAACAGGAGCTGCCTATACGACGCGGTGTCTGGATTTTTTGGCCCCGCGAAACTAATACGACTGTGTAAAATGACATTGAGCAATACTCCATCAGAACTGATAAGGACTTCTCCGAGCCGTTTGATACCAAACGGGGTACGTCTGTTCTGCCTTCTCGGAATTAGAAATAAAAGCCAAGCGAATCGGTCTGGTGGTGCTCGAGGACAAGATGAAATATATCCTGTCATCAGACAAACAGTCATATCATGCACGTCTCGGCACCACGTTTGAAAAAGTCAACGACTCCAATGGAGAATACCTCTTGTCAAAAAGTGGTACGCTTAACTGTGCAGGCAATTGGGAAATAAAATCCCCTCTCGTCGTACAAAAATTACACTCTATAAGTCTCTCAACATGCCCGTGTGAGTGTGTGGCACAGAGGCATGGACAATGAAAACATCTGATGAGGCGGCTCTTGGAGTTTTCGATAGAAATATTATTCGAAAGCTTTACGATCCTTTGCTCATTAGCGATGGCGAATACGGCAGAGGATGGAACGATTACCTGTATGAGCTTTACAACGATATAGACATAATGCAGGGAATTAAAGTACATCGGCAATGCAGGCTTCGTCATATCGTAAAATGACAGAAACACTCTAGCTCTGAAAGTATACAACGCGGCTCGCGATGCTAGTAGCAGGGGAAAAGGAAGGACCGCACTGCGAAGGCAGGACCAAGTGGAGAAGTCCTTGGCTGCACTTGGCGTCAGTTGGCACATAAAAGACACGATTGGTGTGCTATTTTGGACTCGGCCAAAATCGCTTAGGCGATTACAGCGCCAATAAAGATGAAGAAGTGAGATCAAATATTTCGAATCCATTAGCATACTTGGGAGCTTTCTGTTATTTTAATAATATATATATGTGTATATAATACTTATCGCAAAGGAAAATAAAAGGTGTCTGAGAATTTGATATGAATGCATGCGTTCAATTTTAACACTTTTAAAGCAAACAATATGCCTAACTAAGGCGGTAGCTTGAAACCTTCGTTATTCCCTAAAATTAATAGTCTACTAAATGCAAATCCTTTCTTCCTGTAGATGTGAAGTGGAAATGGTTTACTTTTTAGCTCGACCTAAGAAAAACAAAACCGCACATGAGAGACTCAATGATCTGTTTGATCAAACTGTAAGTTGTGAAACTTCCTACATTTGTTTGTACGATTGTCTAAAAAAATATATACGATTTACCTACCTCTTGCAACTCTTGCATTTATTAATTTTTTTAGTGATTGATATCATAGCTTTTACATATTCTTTTGCTTATCTCACACCTCTCCTTAACCTTCAGCAATTCGCTAAGCTACGTAGAGAATATCCCAACTACCGACAGCATGTCAGCATCATTGAAGGCGACATGTCTCTCATTGACTTGGGCATAAAGGATTCCGATCGACAGCTACTCGCGGAAACGGTTGAGATTGTTTTGCATGCCGCCGCTGAAGTGCGCTTTAATGACAGCCTTCACAAACTGGCAACCACAAATTTACGCGGCACACGCCAAATGCTGAAATTGGCAGAGAATTTCAAAAAATTGCAGGTAATTTCATTTAATCAACAAATTCTCCGAAGTTATCCAGCACACGCAACTAATTGGTATCTTGCAGGTCTTCCACTATGTTTCAACCGCCTTTAGCAACTGCAAGCCAAATTGCAAAGTGATCAAAGAGGAATTCTACGAGCCACCACTTGAACCAAATACACTCATCGCTTATGCCGAAAAGTGCATTAATACTCCCGAGGATTTGGATATTTTCGATACGATAACAAATCGTTTGATTGGCGAATGGCCCAATACTTACACATTTTCGAAATGTCTTTCGGAGGAATTGGTGAGGCGTAGGGCTGAAAAATTTCCCACATGCGTTTCGCGCCCCAGCATAGTGATTTCGACCAATCGTGAACCCATAGCGGGTTGGATAAATAATGTTTATGGTATCACAGGTTCGGTTTTTGCTTTGGCTGCTGGCCTATCGCGTCTCCTGCCCATTGACAAAGATAAACACTTGGACCTAATCTGTGCCGATTTTACAATCAATGCCATATTAGCAGCCACTTGGGCAATGCATCAGGATGTTGAGGACCATAGAAAGGTTCAATTGTCGGAGGGAGAAGAAATTGCGCCTACAGAGGCAACGTTAGCAAAAGTATCACCCACCCCACCGAGTCCCAAAATATACGCTTTGGTATCTTCGACATACACACCAGCGGGGCTTGTAACAACAGAGACTGTATCGCATTACCTAACAAACCCGTTGCAACGCCACTTATGGGTAGTGTGTCCAAATATAACTGGCAATCTGTTGTTATTCAAGTATCTTAGTATATACTATCATCTGATAGGCACTTTAGCCATTGATTTCGGTTTAAAAATAGTAGGTCGAAAGGAACGGTAAGTACAGTAAGACCTAAATATAACATAATTGCTACTGCAGAAATGATACTCACACTAAAATTACTTTTCGTCAACAGCATCTTACCTTGGGTGCGCAAAACGCAACTATTTCTGAATGTAATCGCCTACTTCACGCAGTACGATTGGAAATTTGATTATGAAAATATGCGCGACGTCTGGAAGCGAATGGATCCTGTGGATCAAAAGTTATTTCTCTGCGATACGCGTCTATTCGACTACAAGAAATGGTGTTTCACCTATATGCAGGGCATGAAGCACTTTATTTGTAATGATCCGCTTGAAAATCCTAAAACAGCGGTGACCCGTTATAATCGCATAAGTTGGGTGCATTTAATATTCAAGTACCTTTTTTACATTTCCCAGCTGCTTTTGGCATATGCGGTGGTAAAGGGTCTAAAACTAGATGAAGCATTCGTTAAATTAATAAGCATTAAATTTGGTTTAGGCAAAGGAACCGCTTTTGCCTAGACATTGCGATGGTTTCCCTTAAAAACTTTTTAGCAATTTGGGCAGGTATTAGGTAAACAGTAAACTACAAGAAAAGTAAAAACAAACCTCCTTTTTCATTTTTCCTTAATGTGACCGCGTTTTACCAGCGCTAACCTCAAATTTCCAATGTGTTTGAAATATACTTACAGCCAATTTCACGAGAGCAATTTAAGTGAAAAGTGATATAAATTTTTGAAACTTTATATGGAAATTGACAGAAAATAAAAAATTATTTTCTATTTAAATTGCTAGTAAAACCAGCTATTAGTCTCTTCACGATAATACTATTGGTTTTTAAATAAAACTTTTCTCTTAAGTTGATTAGTATTTGGTTTTTCATAAAATTTGTTAAAATATCTAAAATATACATGTCATCAATAAAGAATAAATCTCAATTTTTCTGCTTGGGTATCAATTGAAATAACAGTTACCGAAATTTGGCGATATGTGTATATAGAAATTTCTGGAGCTATGAAAATTAATCAAGCTATGGAAATCATAAAAATATTCAAAGTTTATTGAATTATTGATATGTATCTAGATATGTAAATTTTTGACAATGCGAGGACCAACATAATCGTGAAAAGAATACAAATACAAACAAATAAATAGAGGCCAAGCGAAGACTAATAAGAATACAAAGACGTACAGAAAAAAGAAGAAGAATATGGAGACGAACAGGAAGATATATGTACATATGTGAATAGTTATACGAAGGCGGATAATGGCGTTTTCGTTTCTACAAAAAATGTTGCCTCATCATTGCCCTCTTCTTAGTATTTGTGCGTAGAGAGCAAAGAGAAAGTAACGCTAAAGCGAAAGTGAAGAGGGAAATAAATAAGCAGATGAATACGAAGACGAACACTAAGACTAAGGATAAGGTTAATATTAAGCTTAAGTAAAATGTCTGCAATATGAAGCGAACTAAAAATTAGTCGAGGGAAGTTTCACTTTAGTAGCATGACCCAGGTGCAGTAATTTTTTTTTTTTTTTTTTGTATCTTTTTGTTAAGCAGAATTTTTATGTTAGGCATTGTGTTCTTCTTCGTATTTGTTTTTTTTTTTTTGTTTCACAATATTTCAACAGAGTTTTCGTGGTTTCAAAACTGGTTGGAAGATACCTCAGGCTTGGGTAAACATTGTTTATAGAGAAATTTTCAGTCAATTGTTTAAAAAACACTAGAAAAGTGATCGTAACTGGACCGTAACTGGCACTCCTAGTATAAATATTGTATACCCTGACAACAATAAGTTTCTATCTTTGGTTTAATTGTATTTCTAAGAATGCGTAAGAGTGAGATAAATTATCCAAATAATTGCAAAGGTAAGTATGTACCGCGCCGCAACTAATCACTTTCGCGGGGGTGCATAGCGTATGATTAACACAATTTCCGGGTTGTCAACGAATTGCTTTCTCTACCAAACAATAGTTAATCCATCTCTGCAATGAGAGATTTAATGAATGACAGAGGGCGCCCATAACTCACGCAAGTGACTACTTTAGTAACTCCCGGTAGTACAGAGAGAGCCGATGGTGACTACCGCCTAGGACATTGCCTTGTAAAAGTAATCACTGAAATACACTGCAAGTGGTCGGTCGGTCGGTAAAGGAGTTTATCAGGTAGCAACCGATTCATCAGTCCTGTAGTCGCGCCTCCGTATTGCAGGGTTACTCTAGCTTATCGACGATTTTCAATCATTTTACCCCATACAAACTCTCTCCTTGGCACAATTTTAATCTTTAAGTTAATATACCGCAAATTCATGCCACAAAAAGTTTATAATCTCAGCCGGGAACTACAAGTGATTACCTATAAACTTGTACCGCAAATTATTGTATGCCAGACAGCATTGTACTATATGTATATTCCCTAGGTATACTCGTATGGGTACATACATATGTACATACACATACATAAGTATTTATACTCGTATATACGCTGATATACGAGAACGACTTCACATAAAAGCCTTTTCATCTGGTCGCTTAACGAACTAACCAACCACTTGAGTAACTTTCAAGAGAATCACGGATGTAAGTCCACTTAAGTTCCTATATATATATATATACATATGTGTGTATATAGGTATATATGTACACATACTTACGTGTACTGTACGTGGCTACATACTTATACGCACTAAACTTCATACAAACATTAACTGTTGTTCACTTCCTACATATCGGGGCGTCTATGCATTGATGTACAGATTTCATGCAGGCTTTACGTGATTACCTGCCAAAAGGCTTTAATCACGGTGCCCGCACTTGGCACGACGGATTAATTTTTGCATTAATCACTGCCCTGAACTGCAAGCACTTCAGTACCAATTGGCAGTATGTGGTGGACACACTTACCACCTTGGCAGGGCCGAGGCCTACCTAGACCTCTGACGTTCTCTGGATCACGACATCCGTTTTCAATGCCACTCCACATTGAACCATTGCTGGTTCTACCCGCATTTAGGTATTAAACCACAGCTACCACGATACTCCCCAAAGGGGCCGTACCCATGAACACACCGGAGTAATGCTCGCCGGCGAGATTTGCTCGACTGGCTGAACTCACCCTAACCCACTTAACTGACTCAGCCCACACTAGAACGACTTACTCGACTACTACACTCCACATTCATACCCCGTCTTGCTCGTCTCACAAGTCTAATCGCCTCGCTCGTGGGCACCCTCCACATTCTCCAGGAAAGGTGACACCAGTCGCTCAACTTTCAACCGATCGAGTTGCTCGACACACATTCACCATCTTGCTCCGTCTTGCTCATCTCACACGTCCTACTCGCCTCGCTCGTGGGCACCCTCCACATTCTCCAGGAGAGGTGACACCACTCGCTCAGTTTTCGCAACGGATCGAATTGCTCAACTTGCGCACAACTTTTTCAACATTTTCCAGCGGTTTCCACCAGTTTCCACATTTCCTTCGATTTCAACTTTTTTTATTCAACTTATTTTCACCCTTTTCTAGTCGTGTAAGCCATGCCAGTGCTTGCCTTGCCAGCCAGTGTCGCCAGTTTTGCTCGTCTCGCCGACGAACACACTCCGGGGGCATCTGTTCCCCGCGGCACCATTTTTAAAGTCTTTGGTATGACTCTCGAAAGCCGTAGACTTCTTCCAGTTGAGCCTCCACCGACTCAGGACTGGTAGCCTTTGACTGGGGTACCCGGGATTGTGACACCCGTAGCCTCGCAAACGTAAGCACATGTCCTACACAGGTTCCCATGCGGAGCATCCCTGTTAGTTCATGCCGACATGGAAACCCCTAAGGGCCCCCATGTCACCACTTAAGATCTAACCCCGCGTCAAGGACACCAACGATGGCTAGATGCATTGATGTACAATAATATTCATACCTTCTAACAGATAATGAGCTTATGGGCAAATTTCACGATTTGTTTTTTTTTTTAGTGTCACTCCCTTCTCTCGCCAGAAAAAAACGCTAAACAATCAATGGAGTTCCAGAAATAAGTTCGATAAAAAATAAATAAATAAATTACTTTAAATGTTCTAGCTTTAAAATATTTATTTAATCGTAAAAGTACCGAAATTACTTATTTTTCATTGTCGTTCGAAAAAATCATAATTTTTTTTTAATTAATTTGGGAAGTTTTCAGATAGAATGTTTATATTAGAGGCAGTGAAAGTTGCCACCAAGTACAACATATCTATGAAGTTTCAAAAGTGTGCCACCAAACTTAAAGGAATGCCAGAATATCTGTGGCAGCTATTTTGTATTAAGGCGTGCGAGCTGCCTGTGTATGGTGCTGCAGGGCGTATACGTTACATGCACAACTATGGATTGGACTATTGTTAACCGACTTCACAAAACTTCACAAAAAGGAAAAGGTTATCAACTCGTCGGAATATTTATTTTTTTATTTTTTTTTATATATGTTACCGCGTTACTTTGGACCACGTCAACCAATTTCTATATTTTTTTTTTTTTTTATATGGTCCCATACTAATTTGGTTTAAATCTGTTTATTGGATCATGAAGAAATCAAGGATAATCTTAAATTTGTATATGAAAATTGAAGTCGGTTTTGTTTTTTGTTTAAAAACTACTTGTTTTAGTATTTTTTTTTAAGTTTTCATTCAAATACAATTCGCAATGAAATCTTGTTCTTTATGCAAAATGCATTGTTCAAGGTAAGTGTGCCACCATTTTCGACCAAAAACCACTTTTTTCGAAAAATGTAACAACTCGTGAGATTTGTTCATATACATATTCATCAGCAACCAAGCATACCTAGCATATCAACATACATACATAAATGTAAGTGTACAGTTAATCAAGAACACTTGCATGTCACTTGCCTCTCTGCCACTGGTATTGTTGTTCTTGTTATTGCTGCCACCACATTTCAAATTGTTGCCCATAAATCAGCGTACACTTGTACATACATATGTACATGCATACAAGCTGCAGAAAATGCAAAAAAGTTTTTCTATAAAAATAGTTTGACATATCATTTCATGCTGGTTGACAGATAATGAAATTGTTGAAAAGTTTTGTGTACCGAAAGAAAAACGAAATGGCGCACAAAAAATTTATTGAGCCTAACAGTAAACCAAGAAGAAGAAGAACAATGTATGTTTTTAGGAGTTTGCACATACATAAATATATATCCACTATGTATGTATATCAGAATGTGTAAATCCGTAGGGGTTCATGTTATTTTTAGTGTTATTATGCACTGGTGCGTAAGCGATTTCGAGTAGATTATTTTATGTTGTGAGCTATCGTTCAGTTACTTAACTGATGATTTTCTATTTTTGATAAACTAGAAAAGGATATAGCAAAATACATACACACATATCGCTAACTGAAAGTGAAAAGGTGCCAAGTCGACTTTTTTCAAAAATTTTGTTCTACATGCAGAATGACAGATAATGCGAAACTTCATCGATTTTTCGTCTCTCCGGATTAATTTCAAAAAAATGGACCTGGCGCCTTTACACCTTTA